GTGGTAGTTTTGGGATGATTTTGGGGTGGTTTTGGGGTGATTTTGTGGTGGTTTTGGGATGATTTTGGGGTGGTTTTGGGGTGATTTTGTGGTGGTTTTGGGATGATTTTGGGGTGGTTTTGGGATGATTTTGGGGTGGTTTTGACCCTTTTTCGTCCCCCCAGCGCCCCGACAGCCCCCGGGGAGGCTCCTCTGGCAGAGAAGAAATACAAACCCCTGAACACGGCCCCGAATGCGGCCAAGGAGATCAAAGTGAAAATCATCCCCCCACAGCGTGAGTTTGGGGCCATTTCCGGCCTTTTTGGCTCATTTTGGGGCCATTTTGGGGCTCATTTTGGGGTCATTTTGAGGTTTCTTTCCAGTGCCATTTTTGGGGTCATTTTGGGGCAATTTTGGGTCATTTTGGTGCCATTTTGGGACATTTTGATACCATTTTTTGATAATTTTGGTACCATTTTTGGGTCATTTTGATACCATTTTTTTGATAATTTTTGTACCGTTTTTTGGGTCATTTTGGTGCCATTTTTTGGGTGATTTTGGTGCCATTTTTTGATAATTTTGATACCATTTTTGAGTCATTTTTGTACCATTTTTTGGGTAATTTTGGTGCCATATTTAGGGTCATTTCGGTATCTTTTTTTTTGATAATTTTGGTGCCATTTTTGGGTCATTTTGATACCATTTTTGGGTCATTTTGGTACCATTTTTTTGATAATTTTTGTACTATTTTTGGGTCATTTTGGTGCCATTTCTGGGTCATTTTGGAGCCATTTTGGGTCATTTTTGTACCATTTTTTTGATCATTTTGGTGCCATTTTGGGTCATTTTTGTACCATTTTTTTGATAATTTTGGTGCCATTTCTGGGTCATTTTTGTACCATTTTTTGGATCATTTTGGTGCCATTTTTGGGTCATTTGGATACCATTTTTTGATAATTTTGGTACCATTTCTGGGTCATTTTGATACCATTTTTTGATAATTTTGGTGCCATTTTTGGGTCATTTTTGTGCCATTTTGGGTCATTTCGATACCAATATTTAGGGTCATTTCGGTATCATTTTTTTGATAATTTTGGTGCCATTTTTGGGTCATTTTTGTACCATTTTTTGATAATTTTGGTGCCATTTTTGGGTCATTTTTGTACCATTTTTTGATAATTTTTGTACTGTTTTTTGGGTAATTTTGGTGCCTTTTTTGTAATTTTTGTACTGTTTTTGGGTCATTTTGATACCATTTTTTGATAATTTTGGTACCATTTTTGGGTCATTTTGGTACCATTTTTGGGTGATTTTGGTACAATTTTTGGGTCATTTTGGTGCCATTTTGGGTCATTTTTGTACCATTTTTTTGATAATTTTGGTGCCATTTTTGGGTCATTTTGATACCATTTTTTGAAAATTTTTGTACCATTTCTGGGTCATTTTGGTGCCATTTTTTGATAATTTTGGTACCGTTTTTTGGGTAATTTTGGTGCCATTTCTGGGTCATTTTGGAGCCATTTTGGGTCATTTCGATACCAATATTTAGGGTCATTTCGGTATCTTTTTTTTTGATAATTTTGGTGCCATTTTTGGGTCATTTTGGTGCCATTTTTTGATAATTTTGGTACCATTTTTGGGTCATTTGGATACCATTTTTTTGATAATTTTTGTACCGTTTTTGGGTCATTTTGGTGCCATTTTTTGATAATTTTTGTACTGTTTTTGGGTCATTTTGGTGCCATTTCTGGGTCATTTTGGAGCCATTTTGGGTCATTTTTGTACCATTTTTTTGATAATTTTGGTACCACTTTTGGGTCATTTTGGTGCCATTTCTGGGTCATTTTGGAGCCATTTTGGGTCATTTTTGTACCATTTTTTTGATAATTTTGGTACCACTTTTGGGTCATTTTTGTACCATTTTTTTGATAATTTTGGTGCCATTTCTGGGTCATTTCGGTGCCGTTTTTTGGGTCATTTTGGTACTGTTTTGGGTCATTTCGATACCATTTTTGGGTCATTTTGGTACCATTTTGGGTTATTTCGGTGCCATTTTTTGATAATTTTGGTACCATTTTTGGGTCATTTTGGAGCCATTTTGGGTCATTTTGATACCATTTTTTGATAATTTTGGTACCATTTCTGGGTCATTTTTGTACCATTTTTTGGATCATTTTTGTACCATTTTTTGATAATTTTTGGGCCATTTTTGGGTCATTTGGACACCATTTTTTTGATAATTTTGGTACCATTTCTGGGTCATTTTGGTGCCATTTTTTGATCATTTTGGTACCGTTTTTGGGTCATTTTGGTGCCAATTCAGGCGATATTTGGGACCTTTCCAGGTGACACTTTCAGAGCCATTTTGTGGTGGATTTGGGATCCCTTTTAGGCCCGTTTTGAGGCAGGTTTGGGACCCGTTTTGGGGTGAATTTGGGGGGTTTTGGTGACCCCTCTGTGCTCTCCTCAGCCATGGAAGGCCTCGGCTTCCTGGACGCCCTCAACTCCGCGCCCGTCCCCGGCATCAAGATCAAGAAAAAGAAAAAAGTTCTGTCCCCGACGGCAGCCAAGGTGAGCGACGTCTTGGGGACATTTGGGGACATTTGGGGACATTTGGGGACATTTTGGGGACATTTGGGGACATTTTGGGCCCATTTTGAGGCCATTTTGGGCCCATTTTGAGGCCATTTTGGGCCCATTTTGAGGCCATTTTGGGCCCATTTTGAGGGACAATTTGAGGTCATTTTGAGGCCATTTTGGGGACATTTTGGGCCCATTTTGAGGGACATTTTGGGGTCATTTTGAGGGACATTTTGGGGCCATTTTGGGGGACATTTTTGGGTGCCATTTTGAGGGACAATTTGGGCCCATTTTGGGGACATTTTGGGCCCATTTTGAGGTCATTTTGGGCCCATTTTGAGGGCCATTTTGGGGCCATTTTGGGCCCATTTTGGGGACATTTTGGGCCCATTTAGAGGAACATTTTGAGACCATTTTGAGGCCATTTTGGGCCCATCTTGAGGGACATTTTTGGGTGCCATTTTGAGCCCATTTTGAGGCCATTTCAGGATCCATTTTAGGACCACTTTGGGCATCATTTTGGGGTAAAACCTCCCCGTTTTAACCCCCCTGCTGCCTCCCCAGCCCAGCCCCTTCGAGGGGAAGCCGGCGCCGGAGCCCAGCGCGGCCAAACCGTCGTCA